CCCCTTCCCCTACCCAAATCATTATCACCGGTAAGTGGCTCTTTCGCCACAAATTTGGCCCTACAGGTGAACTGTCTAGGTACAAAGCTCGATGGGTGGTCCGTGGATTTAATCAGCGCTTCGGAATCGACTACGATGAGACTTTCAGCCCAGTTGTCAAACCGGCTACGGTACGCATTGTTCTCACTCTTGCACTTAGCAGGGGGTGGCCCATCCATCAGCTCGATGTCAAGAATGCTTTCTTGAATGGCACACTCCACGAGACTGTCTATGCCAGCCAGCCCTCTGGTTTCCAGGATCCAGCTCGGCCGAATTATGTTTGCAGGTTAAAGAAGGCCCTTTATGGCCTTAAACAAGCCCCACGCTCCTGGTACCAGCGATTTGCAGGCTTCCTTCTCACTTTGGGGTTCCGAGGATGCAAGAGCGACACATCTCTTTTCGTTTACTCTCGGGGACCTGACATGGCCTATCTTCTCCTTTATGTGGACGACATTGTGCTCACGGCCTCCTCCACCACTCTCCTCACATGCCTCACTCAGAAACTTAAGGGGGAGTTCGCCATGACAGATATGGGGGAGCTAAATTTTTTCCTTGGCATTAGAGTCCAGCGCACGGCCGGGGGTCTCTTCCTACATCAGACACAGTTTGCTCACGAGATCCTTGAGCGGGCTGACATGCTTCACTGTAAGCCTATCTCCACCCCGGTCGACACCAAGGCAAAGCTATCTGCCACGTCCGGCACACCTCTCCCAGACCCCACTATCTACAGATCTATTGTTGGTGCCCTACAGTATCTGACTTTTACACGCCCTGATCTCACGTATGCTGTACAACAGCTTTGCCTTCATCTTCATGCACCACTCAGCTCCCATCTCACGGCTATGAAGCGAGTTCTACGCTACATTCATGGCACAGCTACCCATGGCATCACTCTTCACCGCACTGGCACAGATTCCTTACAGGCCTATTCAGATGCAGATTGGGCAGGCTGCCCTGACACCCGTCGCTCCACTTCCGGGTATTGTGTTTTTCTTGGAGACAACCTCATTTCTTGGTCCTCCAAGAGACAGGCCACCACTTCCCGCTCTAGTGCTGAGGCAGAGTACCGCGCCGTGGCAAATGCGGTAGCAGAGACTAGCTGGGTCCGAAATCTTCTCCTTGAGCTTCATCAACCTCTCCGACGAGCCACTTTGGTGTTCTGTGACAATGTCAGTGTTGTTTACCTCTCGCCTAATCCCGTTCAGCACCAGCGGACAAAGCATGTTGAGGTTGACATTCACTTTGTTAGAGACAAAGTTGCCCTTGGTCATGTTCGGGTCCTACATGTTCCCTCCTCCTCTCAGTATGCTGATATCTTTACCAAAGGGCTCCCATCTCTCCTATTCTCTGACTTCAGACACAGTCTTGGCATTCGACCATCTCCGGTCACGTAGTTGGGTGCATGTTAAATATATATTATGTATATATTTAGTATTAATTGTGTAATCATTGTATACATGGTAGTTTCCTTGTATAGGATTCCTTCCGTAGTTAGGATTCTCATGTATTATATATACGAGGCTTAGCCCTCCGTTATTTTGAATAGAAAATAATAATTCTTTAGTATCTCTCTAACTCTCCTGATATACCCTTAGCCTAGCTCGTCCCTGACGCACCTTTGCACTCTTCCAATTGAATGGGGGTGGTGCACGAGAAGGGTCGAGCCGATAGGTTTAGCAAGAATTAGAGAGATATGAACAATTGAATTGATATAAGAATCGTACGCCAAATATTTGGCGTAAGATCATCCTATCTCTAAATAAGTAAGAGATACTAATTCTTTCCATCCTATTCCTTCAATTATATTCTTTATTCATTTTTAAACTCATTTGAAAAAATAATATACTCCGTAGTATTATTATTACTTTTTGTTTTGTACAACTTTTGTTGTTGTTTATAAATATATAAATTTTACGAAGTACTTGATTTTATAACAATTTTCAACGAAATTGAATTAAAAATATTTCCTCCGTTTCAATAAATCCTTCTTCTTTTATTTTTTTCATTTCCCTAAAAACACTTTTAGAGCTACTTTTTCATAATCTATACTACGTCATATTTTTTCATTAATGTTTCAACTATCACATTTTACTTTTTACCCACTCTAAACAAGAGTGGCAAAATTGAAATATCAATCATAAAAATAAAAGTCAAAAAGGGGAATAATAATTTACTTACAGAGACTTGCGTTTGTCCATGAAAGAGACGGGGCGAGATGAGTAACCGCTGGCTATGAACTCCAAAGTCTCGCCGATCAACGGCCAGCCGGAGCTCCCCCGGGGAACCATCCCATCGTCTTCCTCCGTCCTCCTCCTCCTCCTCTGCACCGCCACCACCACCACCCAAACTCCGGCCACCGCCGCTCCGATCACGGCTGCCCAATCCCACGGCGTCGTTTCCTCCATTTTTCTGATCTTTCTCTTCTATTTGTTTGTTTGTGTGTGTATATACATATGTGTGTGTGTGTATATATATATATATATATATATATATATATATATATATAGATAGATGCCGTGGCTGGTTTTGGATGGGAATTTATAGAATTTGTGAATTTACCAAAAATAATGGGGAAAAATACAGAGCCTATTTTTGGAGTAACAGTGTGGTAGCAAAATTCTTTCATGGGCCCCACAGAGGTGGACCCCACCGCAGACAAACAACCCAGACATGGAGCCCAAAACCCGCCCCAATGTACTGCCTACCTCCGTCTCACTCTCTTTGTCTATTTTTGACTTTTGAAACTATTTATTTAAGTACTTTGACTCATCAAATTTTCTCAATCTGTAAGCCTAAATATAGTCATGTGTGATCTTGTTTGATTTGTCTTAACATATAGATTATTAATATATAATTTCTATAATTTTTTAATATACAAATTACAAGATAAAATTGATTAAAGAAGTGCATTGGATGGTGTGTCAAAAGGTAAGTGGATAAAGAGAGTGGGACGGATGGAGTATAAAATAAATCCACCATTAAATTTTTATTTAAAACGCGAATTTTAATTGAAAATGTTGTTCTCAAACAATAACGCGAATTTTAATAACGTTAAAGATTAACGTTAGCGTTTTGAAAAGGCTATCTACGGGCAGCGTTTTGCGTTAGCATTTTCAAAGTAATCTGCACCGTTAAAATTTTATCCAAAATGCTAACACTAATCTCTAGCGCTATTCTCAAACAGGCCCAATGTCGGAACCGAACCAGTTCTTGATCGCAGGTGAAGTGAAACCTATTTTGCCTTTTATCGGTCCGATTGATGAAGTACTTACGACAGGTCAACTTGGTCAAAAAATAGACCAAACCAAATGTTGGGACTGCGCACACCCCTTACGCTAACCCGCATTAGATCATATCGGGTGCTCTAAATCAAGCCTCCACGAATATATTTTTGTATATTTTTCAAAAGGCCACATACTAATACTATGTTTGGTTCAAAGAATTTGAAAGTAAATAAAAGAAAATGAACTGGAAAACACTTTTTTGTTTGGCTAGAGAAGAAAAGTAAAGTAAAAAGAAACGAATATGAGAATACAAAATGTACTAACACTATGTTTGGTTTAAAGAATTTGGGAAAAGAAAAGAAAATGAGAAGGAAAACATTTTTTCTTGTTTGGTTAGAGAGGAAAACAAAAGACTTTTGGAAGGAGAAGCAAATGAGAAGGCAAAATGTACTAAAAGGATGGAAAATCAAATTCTTCCCATTTTGATGAAGAAACTCAGAGAAAAACATTTTCTTTTTTTTTCTTTCCAAATTTCTTTAACCAAACATAGTGTAAGTGATTGGAAAACCAAATACCTTCCATTTTGGTGAGAAAAATGAGAGAAAATCGTTTTCTTTTCTTTTCCTTCCAAATTTCTTGAACCAAACACAATGTAATAGGACAATTTTTTCACTCACTAATGACCACACAACTCATGACCTCTCTTCATCAATCTTTTTAGGCCAATTTTTCAAACGGCCCAAAATTATTACTTCGGTAAAAAAATTGATGGAATATGTGGTAAATTTTCAAGGGTAAATGACTTTGTCTTATGGGCCCACAGATAAGTTATGATTGAGGAAATTGCATGGCCATGCTGAGATGTTTTTTATGACGTCTGTTCCTATTAGTCAAACTTGATAAATCAGTGAATGACTTAATGGATACAAGCTGGATTTTATTAATCCCTTGCATTAAGTTTAGACATTGAGACAAAGGGATACAGTTACACGGAGTTTGAGTCGTGGAAAGGGTTTTTACAACATTGCAAAACTCAATCCCAAATTAACCTTTCTTCGTTCTAAAAAGATTACAACATTTTGATTTTTTGATTAAATTGTCACACTTTGACTGTAAATTAAATATAATTTTAAATAATTAAATGTTATAAAAATTTTGTAACTCTGTATATCGAAACTATATGTTATAATAAACCTAATTTTATTAAATTTACATTATAATAAATATATATTTCAAATTTTGTACTCCCTCTGTCCCAATTTAAATTGCCTATTTGCCTTTTTTTCTCCGTCCCAAAATAAGTTACCTGTTAGTTGTTATCGTAAACTTTTAAAAATAAAATACCTAAACTACTCCTAAAATAAGTCACCCTTCTTCACATTATCTTCTAATTCATAATCACTCTTCTAAAAAGTAATGACAATTTCAAAAAATCAATTCTATTTTTTATTTTCCTTAAATATGTCCAAAAGTCAAAACAGACTATTTAAAACGGAACGAGGGAGTAGTTAAAGTCTATACTATTTGACCAAAACACTCAAACTATAACAACTTTTTTAAGCCCGAAGAAGTAGTTTCGAGCCCCTCGGACCATCACACGTAAAGCCATGTGGTAATAGTAGTAGGCCAGAATAGCCAAAGCAATATCAGTGTCAAAACAAAGCAATAATATTGCAAAAATAAGATAAATACTCCATTCGTTTCAAAAAAATCGTCTCAGTTCAAACGAGTAAAATCCCATCTTCTTTAAACTTATTATATTTACAAATTGGTATATAAATAAAAATTACGGAGTATAAGTTAATATTTCACAAAAGTACATCAAAAGTTATACAGAATGAAACAAGATGTGACAACATTTTTAAAACAAAACTAAACAAATGATGATGCCAAAATGGTACTGGTACTAAGACGATTGTTTTGGAGGACCATGCTACACACCCCCCACCTTTACTACCAACCTTGCCTCCACTCATTTCTCCACCACATATTTATCTCTACCCATTCTCCACCCACCCTCTAATTTTAATTTTCTTGCCTCCCTACCACATGTTTATGTAGGGGGGGCATGGGTGGTAGCAAGGGTGGGGGTTTTTAGCATTTTCCTATTTTGGAACGGATAACGAATCGGGGGACTACGATTTAACATGGAATAAAGGCCAGCCCTCCAGGACCTACACTACAGCTTCAAGGAGAGACTTGCCTTTGTTTATTTGAAGCCAACTGGAACCAGGAGTTTTCTTGACATCCCTACTGCCCATGATTTCCCTCAAACTCCCAACATTTTCCCAGTTGAGTAAACCAGCAAATGCATTTGACAACAACACATAGGTTGCAGGGTCGTTTTTGTCAATACGCAATGCTTTCTCTGCAGCTCGCCGAGCTGTCTCTGTGTCCCCATGAAGCACGCACGCCCCTAGCAAGGTTTGCCAAACCAACAAACCGGGCTGGAATGGCATGCCCAGAATCAATTCCTCGGCTTCCTTTATATGTCCAGCGCAACCGAGTAGATTCACCATACATGCATAATGATCTTCTAAAGGGACAATCCCATATTCATGGGTCATTGAAGAGAACAAACTCCACCCTTCGTCGACAAGGCCTCCTTGGCTACAAGCATAAAGTGCGCAAATCAAGGTTATGCCATTGGGTTTCACCTCTTCTCTCCTCATTTTGTGGAAGATCTCGAGGGCTTCTTTTGGGCATCCATTTTGTGCGTACCCGGCTATCATTGATGTCCACGAAACGATAGAGCGCTCGTTCATTGATTTGAAAACCATCGAAGCACCACTCATGCACCCACACTTTGCATACATGTCAAGCAATGCATTGTCCACACAAACATCGATATCGTCCCCCAGTTTGATCCTCAAGCCATGAAACTTCTCGCCGTCTTTCAAAGATGCCAAATTGGCACATGCATTAAGTGCAGTTGCAAACGTGAATTTATTAGGCTTCACACCAGCCGCTCTCATCTTTCCAACGACTTGAAGAGCACTGCTTGGGTCCTCATGATTCAAAAGCCCAGCAGCCATTTGAGTCCAGGAGCGAACATCTTTTGATGGGATCTCCTCAAATGCCTTCAACCCTTCACTAAACCTTTGAGATTTTAAATACATATCCACCAAAGAGTTCCCCACACACACTTCGTTCCCATGTCCGCACTTAACGAGCCAAGCATGAACTTGCACACCCATTTTAAGGCACGGAAGTTCAGCCAATCCCGTAAGTACACTTGAAAAAGTGAATTTATCAGGTTCCACGCCATTTCTTAGCATTTTTAACCAAAAAATTGGCAACTCAGAGGGGCAAAATTGCACATACCCATCAAGCATAGCATTCCAGGTCACAATATCCTTATATGAACAATTCTCAAACACCTCTTTTGCTTCTTTTAATCTATGATGCCTTAATAAACCCGTCAAGAAAGCATTCACCAAATAAATGTTAGACTCAAAACCGAGCCTAACAATCAACCCATACACTTGAAGCAGATGTATCAAGCTCAGACAATCCGAAAAGGAGCATGCATGAAGAGCGCTCACAAAGGTGAACTCATTTGGTGTTATTCCACTGTTGTGCATCCTGAAAAATGTAGAGAACCCTTCAATAGGAAAACCCTTCTGCACAAAGCCAGCAATGAGGGCTGTCCAAGACACAATATTTTTCTGCGGCATTTCATCAAAAAGTTTGTGTCCACCCCATATGTCCCCACATTTCACATATGCATTGATGACATGGTTGTGGATATACACTGATGAAGCTATCCAGGGATTTTTTAGGAGCTTTGCGTGGATTGCTTTGACATAGCCTAAGTTTGAAGCCTCCACACATTTACGGAGTGCATGAGCAAATGTTGTTTCTTCTTCATCCTTGTTAAAATCCCATGTGACAAAGCTAGATTTGGCTGCTTGTTTCGGTGGTGCTGATGGTGTAACAAAAGGATGTCGACCATTGGATGGATAAGAAGCACAAGTTTCATAGAAATGTGGACGCAAGAAAACAGTGTGTTTTCCAAGTTGAGAATGAAGCATCTGCACACATATCTTCAAGCAACCAATGGTACTCGTATTATGTAAACAGGTTACTGTAAATTTCCTGGTTTGATCATATGAAAACTCTCGCATGAGACAAAGATTGAAAACAAAAGTTCCTTTTCTACACACACAAACACAAATTTCAATGGATTATTTCGTATACTCAACTGTTATAAATATATTTAAATATTTTTATTCCAATCTTGAACTGATCAACACTCATCTTCATTTGAACGAATCAGAGAGAGGAATGATTGTACTAAGGTTAACGAAATTAGAGTGGTCTGGAAAGATAGTACTCCACAGTTTGCTGCTCAACCAATGACCGTGAATCCAGACGGTTAGAAAAGCTTCCTTCCTTGCTTTGACAAGTGGAAGGATCCACTAATTAAACTGAACAGCAAAAGGGAAAAAAATGTTCTTTGGGGGCTGTTTAACTTGTTAAGAGGCACTGAGGGCATGTTCCTTTCTCCAACTTTTTGTCTGAAGATGGAGAAAAAACAGAAGTCCGGAAGTTGGAGTCTGAATACAATTTTTAATTATAACCGAAATATGGATTCTGAGACTAGAACCTAGAGTCTAGAAGCTTAGAGTTAAAAGTTGAAAAAAACTAGACCTAGAACAGCCCCAATCAGAAAATAAAGCTGCACAAATATATTATCAGAATCAAAATTGAAGTGTGGAGTCTAGATACAACTATCATTTTAACTAAGATATGGATGCTGAGACGGGAACCTAGAGTCCGGGAGCTGTGATTTGAAGGTAAAAGTTGTAAAAACCCAGCCCTAGAACAGCTCCAATCAGAAGGTAAAATTGTGCAAACAGGCCATCAGCATCATCAGGTGCAGACATTTAGCAAGAATTGATAGAGAAGTTCAACATGGCAACTGCATGAAGTAGATATGGAGAAGACGAAATCAGAATTTCTTATCCAAATCGGGGAAAAGGTTGATCCTTTTTCCCCTTGAAAAGGCCTCAATATGAAATAGGATTTGGCTTATCTCATTACAGTGCCAAGACAGTCTTCAGAAGAAACATGGAATGACATGTACAGCAACAGAGGATGATGTAGATGTCATTATGTCTGGATTTGCATTCCGCCTTAAAGTTTTGCATGAGAGAGCTTTGAGTTTGGTAAATGGGCAATCTGAGATGCTTCTCACTTGTGATGGTTATATGTTAACCATTATTTTTGTCTAAAATAGGCCACAGTATATTGATGGGAATTGTTTTAACAATACATCATGATGATTCTCATAGTGCACCACTTGATAGATTGATAAATGTGATCTGACAAAAAGGAAACATGGATAATTACATTTTAATTAGAAAATAATATATATCCAAAATATATCCAAATCAAAATATATTTGAACTGAAATGTATCTGAAACGACTCAGAACTTAACCAAAATTTAAAAATGTATGGAACCAAATCAATCCGAACCAATTATAACATATATCCAAAAAATACTAGGACCAAATAAATCTAAAATAAATCCAATTCGGAATTGATCTAATTGCTACTTTTATATACAATGATATTAAAAATAATTACATTTAACATATATGCACTAGAATTCTAATTTTTTAAAAAAATGAGTATTTCATGTTTTAAGATATTTTGAGGATATGGTTAAGAATCTGGACAAATGTGAAGATACGAAAGGTTATGAACAAATGGTAGAGAATATAGAGTTGGAATTTATAAGAATAATGAGGTAAATTATTTTATATTTATTTTCTTCAATTTAGTTTTTTTAATACACAAAATAAATTAACCATCTTATTTACAAATTTTTAGGGAAATTTGTCTTTAGCTCAAATCATTATATAGGTCTCAAAGATATCACGGCGGTTTTCCGAATCACATTTACATATCAAATGGAGAGGTTGAAGATTAGTTACCTGAAGTTAGGGAGGAACTTTCTGTTCAGAAGATTGAAAAGCATATGAAGGTGTTGATATTGATGTTTGAAGAGTTACTATTTATCCACTAGGGATGCAAAGGAATCGTGTGTAGTGGTTTTATTAAAGCTGTGAAAGCTTTTAGGAAATCAAAGTATCTTTTTTTATTAACTTAAAAAACCTTTTACACACTCAAACAACAAAAATTTTATTTTTAAATACTATATTTTCAGGTCCCTTTGATCTGCGATGAAAATGGTAATTTGGATCTTGACTCTCATATATTTTACTCGTCATTGGAGAGTATGGACTTCCTTAAGAAGATACACAATTTAGTCTTTAGGGGAAACATTGTGTGGACAATGTTGTCAAAACAAGAGGTGTCAAAAGTGGCCAACAATCATATGCAAAGACTGGGAGTAGAGAGCAAGAAGGCATGCAATTTTTAATGAAGTAATGGATTTTACGGACATGATAGATGGGGGTGAGGAGGAGAAGAAGAAAGATTGGTCTTGTCCCCTATATATATATATATATATATATATATATATATATATATATATATATATATATATATATAGACACACACTAATTTTTAACCAAGTAATTAGTTAATTAATTGTTTAGGGCCTGGAAGGTAAGATAAACACATTCCTTTCATTTGAAAGGTATGTGTGTCCAGACACAGATGGTACGATGGGATGCACTCTGAATGAGCTTTGAACGATGATATTTCATAGAGTAGGGTGGCTTGCATCAGTAGGCCTACTATCGTACCATCTGTGTCTGTAAAATTACCTTCTGTGTCTGTAACACATAAGCTTGCTTCAATAGGCCTACTATCGTACCATCTGTCTCTATAATATATCACCGTTCGAAGCTCATTCAAAATGCATCCCATCGAACCTTCTGTGTCTGTATCACATACCTTTCAAATGAAAGGAATGTGTGCATCTTACCTTCGAGGCTCTAAACAATTAATTAATTACTTGGTTAAAAATTAGTGTCTACATATATATATATATATATATATATATATATATATATATATATATATATATATATATATATACACATTAAATTTTACCCATTACCAGGCAGAACAGGTAATGCTCAATGGCATTCCTAAAGAATGCCAGCATAAGTAGGGGACAAGACCTGTCTTTCTTCTCCTCCTCCTCCTCAGTCCCATCTTTCATGTTCGTAAAATCCATTACTTCAGCCTTTCTTCTTCTCCTCCTCCTCCTCCTCAATCCCATCTTTCATGTTCGTAAAATCCATTACTTCATTAAAGATTGCATGCTTTCTTGCTCTCCACTCGCAGTGTTTAAGCAAATGATTGTTGGCCACTTCTGACTCCCCTTGTTTTGACAAGATTTGTTGGCCATGTGTGCAGCAATTGTCCCGTGGCACGGGCTATGTGGGCCAAGTCACAATCGAATGTCGTGGGCGCTTATGTATTGAATGCACTATAAGAGTAGGGTATGCACCTCTTCTAACACCAATTGGCTTCAGAAAAGTTGGTAGTGTCTGAGTTCCTATAAGTGATATCAGAGCCAAGGTCACGAGTTCGATTCCCAGCGGGAGCAATTGCTGAGGGGAAGATTGTTGGCCATGTGTGCAACAATTGTCCCGTGGCCTAGGCTATGTGGGCCAAGTTACAATCGAATGTCGTGGGCGCTTGTGTGTTGAATGCAATATAAGGCTAGGGTATGCGCCTCTTCTAATATCAATTGGTTCCAGAAGAGTTGGTAGCGCCTGAGGTCCCACAAGATTGTCCACACAATGTTTCCCCTAAAGACTAAATAGTGCATCCTCTCAAGCAAGTCAATATTATCTAATGGTGAGTAAAATATGGATGAGTCAAGAATCCAAATGGCCATTTTCAGCGCACACCGAAAGCACCTGGAAATATTGTTATTTCAGTGTGTAAAAAGTTTTTTAAGTTATAAAAAAAAGATACATTGATGTCCTAAAGGGTTTCACAGCTTCAATAAAACCACCATACACATGATTCTTTTGCTTTGCTAATGGACAAAGAGTAAACACTAAGTCTTCAAACATCAATACCAACCCCTTCATATCCTTCTCAACCTTCTGAACAGAAAGTTCCTTCCTAACTTCAGGTCATCAATCTTTGACCTCTCCATCTGATATGTAAATCCGATTCAGCAAAACCGTTGTGATATTTGAGTTCTATATAATGATTTGAGCCAAAAACAACTTTTCTTTAAAAAATTGTAAATAAAATAGTTAATATATTTTTTGGGTATTAAAAAAAATTGAAGAAAATAAATATAAAATAATTTACCTCATTATTCTTATAAATTCCAACTCCATATCTTCCACTATTTGTTCATAATCTTTCGTATCTTCACATTCCTCCAGATTCTTAACCATATCCTCAAAATATGTTTAAAACTTGAAATACTCATTTTTTTAATAAATATTATAATTCAAGTGCATATATGTTAAAAATAATTAATGTAATTATATTTAATATCATTGTTTTTAAAAGTGGCAATTAGATCAGTTCCGAATTGAATTTATTTGGTTATAATATTTTTTGAATATATGTTATAATCGGTTCGATTCGAATTGGTTCGAATTTAATTTGGTTCAATACATTTTTTTATTTTGGTTCAGTTTAGATGCATTTCAGTTCAGATATATATTGATTTGGATACATTTGAGATTTAGATATATTTTGGATATATATTATTTTCTAATTAAAATTTAATTATCCATGTTTCCTTTTTGTCATATCACATTAATCAATCAATCATTAATCAAAACCTCATATTCTTTTACATTTTTCTAATTATTCTATTTTCAATCTAAATAATTTTCTCTTTTTGACTTTTTAGTCATATTTTATAAATTGGACTACACATTATGAAAAAAGGATATATTGTGTTATGTGTAAATTTAGTATAATTAAATTGATTTTAAGATTTAATTTTGATATAACAAATTTTATCACATCTACTATTATATTTATCTTTATAATGTAAAAATAAAAGATATAATTGAATGATGTTATGTTCCAAGAATGTCATTTGGTAAAAATTGAGTTAAATTAGGTGAAATTAAGTAAAAAAAAATTAATATTACCACTAAAAATTATCAGGAAAAGGGAAATTTCCAACAGTATGCAGGAATTTAAAATAGACAAACCGATCCTTTAAGTGTTTGATGTAAGAAGGGAAGTTAACGATGAACGTGAAGAACTTATGAGTGGCTATGACAACGTAGCCAATACAATCTCCAGTTCAAAGGTGCATATCAAACATACAATTAAAAAGGTTATTGATAAAACATGCAAGGTTTCGGAGCAGGTGTCCTTGTGAGGGCCGATTATGTTTGGCCATCCCTTATTATAAATGACAAAATAGTTGAGTTGGATATATATATATATATATGGTGCGATTCAGGTGAGAACGAACCTTACTGCGAAAACGGACCTTATTGTGAAAACCATGCATTTTGGGGCCACCGCGATGCATTTTGCATGAGGATCAATGCATCGTGGGGCCACCCACACACACACCCATGAGGATTAATAGTGATTCCCCACTTACCCCATGAGGATATGTGTGTGTGTGTGTGTGCGCGCGCGCACATACACAGATTATGTAAAAAATAAGATAAAATTGTGATATCATTAAAATTTGACTAAACATATATTTTCACACCCTAAAATGGGTAATAAGAGAAAAAAAATATAATTTTAACCTTATTTTTATCTTATTATATTTAATATTAAAGTACTTGATTTTGAAAAACTCTTGCATTCGCAGGTCAGTGACGTCGATTTAGGTTCAATCGGGTTTGACGCATTTTTAGTATGTCATTTTGGCTTTAGTCATCTTAGGGTTCGATCACCGATACCTTTGTTCAAAACCCTATGTTTGCATGTCGGGTATCGGGTTAAAAACGGGTCACGCAATAGCCAGCTGACATGAGACGCTTTAAGGCATAGATCGACTGCTTGAATGGTGCTGTAATGGCACTAACGCGGAGGTCACTGATCCAGAAATGGCCCTTTTCCCTGAGCTGGGCGAACTATGCTACCCGGTTTAGGCCATCACCCTCCCCCACTTTGTCGGGCTCAACGCGAGGGGGGTTGTAATTTTCCTGTAACCTACGTGTTGGACGGTAGAATCTTGAGGCGAAGGGACCAAATTTCCAAAGGGCGGCGAAGCTGTCTCCTTTGTTGTAAAATATGAGGGGTCGTCAGGTTGGGGAGAAAGAGAAGTGGGAGAGGGAAACTCGAGAAGTTGTAGCAGAAGACATGATTAAGGCACAATTTAGAGAAAATAGGGAATGTCTGACTTACTTTGAAAGACTCGGACAACTGAGGAAAAATAAGGAAATGACCAAGCCTCACTGAAAAGCTCGCAAGCGTAAAGCAAGGCGTGGAGGAAGGGAAGGCGACGTTTATAGGGTGCGGACACCTCTCTCCACACATCAACATTGTTCATTGTGACCACTTCAGAAATGCCACGTGGATTTAATGATGGTGCGTAATCATTGCTGAAGTGGAAAGCATAATGACATGATGGGTGCACAGCTCGAGCCAAAATTATGACTGAAATGGTAAAGTTTCTCAGCGGGAAAGATTTAAATTTTGAATTTTTGAAATTCATATCCCAAACTTAGAACCTCTGGATTCAGGACCCCCTGAAAGTAAAACCATTTGTTTACTTCTTGGTATTGCTTAGTGTTACAAGATTGGAAGTGGAGGACATATTGACGGATATAAACTCAAGGCTAGCCTGATCAACCAATATATTGAACAAATGTCTTTGGCTAGGCCAACCCCCAAATATATCGAGATTTAAACTGGAAATTTGAAAGTTGATAGACCGGTCCATCGTCATCACCCGAGACTTGAGTTTTGTATAACCAGTTGTAAGACTTGATTTTTGTATAACCAGTTGTGAGCATTGTTGTCAAGTCGTCGCCTAGGCGTCGACTAGTCGGCGACTAGTCGTCCGGTCGTTTTGGAGAAGGAGAAATGCTGGGCGACCAGCGCCTATGGCCGACTAGGCTTCTAAGCGCGCTAGGCGACGCTTAGCCGCGACTAGGCCACGCCTAGTCGGAGAAAGAAATCCGCAGAATTTGACCTAGTGACCCGACCCAACCCGACCTGACCCGACCCAAATTTCATTAATTTTAAAATTTTTTAACAAATCGCTCCTTCGGCTGCCTCCTGCGACGCAATCCGCACACAATCGAGTCGTCTTCCAGTTCCGGCGTTCCTTCCGCGACCGCGACTTCCAGGCCACCAGCGAGGCAGCGACTATCAACCATCCGATTATCTTCCAGCGACTCTAAGTTTNAACTGAAAAATTAAAATTTAATTTTCATTGATTTGATTCATTAAACAATAAAGTATGATATACTTTAAAGTTTTCAGTTTTTTTTATTTTTTTAATATTTCAGTTTAATTTTTCAATAAAGTATTTCAATTTTATTTTCAGTTTAATTTTTCAATTTTTTTCTGAATTTAATTGATATTTTGGTTTTGTATTTCTTATTTTAATATTTTAAGCGTTCTAGGCTCTTGTTAATTATCTTTCTTGGTGTGTTATTTTTCAAGATTGAAGGATATTTGCTTGTTATGTACTCTTTGTTGACTTTATGTGCTATCTTTAAACATAAATTTGCTTTGGTTATGGTATTTTGACATATAAATATATATATATTCTTGTTGGGTTAATGTAGATATATATTATGTTAAAAATTTCAATACTAATTATGATTTGTCGACTAGTCTACGACTAGTCGCCTAGTCCACTAGTCTCCCCGTCACCGACTCGACTCGACTTGTCGACTTGACAACCATGGTTGTGAGCAACGTGTTAGAAAGGAGCGTGCCAAAGGAAAAATGTATTCATTGTATGGAGTATTTTTCTTTATTTACATACCAATTTCTAATCTAAATAAAATAATTCTGAGGTTTGTGGAGATATTGAAAGTCATTGTAAACCGGGTATTACCTCCTCCGGCGGGTGGCAGCTGCTGCTGTTGCGATGGCCCTGCTACCTTCTTATTCCTATTCCTTGGCATGGCTATGCAGAGAAAAGGCAAAGTGGGCATTAAGTTGTGGACTGTATATAAAAAAATTGATGAAGAATTGTTTATGAAAATTTCTCAGCTAAAATTGTAGGTCTTACATATACCTTAGAGTTTACCACAATTAAGAAATCAGCAATGATGTAATTGTCCATGTTCCAAAATGAAGTAGGAAAACAACCTTGAAACGTAATTGTCCAGATTCAAAGCAACCCATTTATAAATGATAAAGTGCAAAAGCAATTTAAAATGACCAGACTATAGCAATATATACAAGTTGGAGCAATATAAACAAAAACAACCAGACCATAGCAGTGCAGAAATATAAACAGATAAAACCAGATTCTAGGATCCTTCAAAAAGAAGAAGAAACCTTTAAAAAAAAATTGGTGATTTATTGATAAGTAAATTGAAAATTACCTGCGCGATGTGCCACTGTTTGAATCCGAAGAAGAGTGAGAGAGGGACGATAGATGGAAGCGAAGGCGACGGCGATTTATATGGAGATGGCAGAGAGGGCGACTGCGATAAATGAGACGGAGAGGTGGTGAGTGAGGGAGACGGCGGAAAATGAAAAAGATTAATAGAAAAAGATTATTATTATTATTATTATTATTATTATTAAAAATGAAAAAGATTAAACTTTAGGAAAAAGTTTAATAGAATACTAAAAAAGTAATCCTTAGACCTTAATTTTTAGACGTCGGAAAAATTGTTTTTTAAAATACATCGACAATGTCAATCTAATTTTATTTTTAAATAACATTTTTATTGTTACCTGTAATTTGAGTTTTTAAAGTTTTGATCTTTTATTACATCAAGTTGATCAACTTTGATCATGACTTAAATAAAACTAACATTTGATATTCATATACGGAGAACATTTTAGTGCAACTGAAATAACTTTTATATCTATGGTGTTATATTAATCATAAAAAAGTTTCGTAGTACAAAGCACACGCTGATATTTTATAAGGAGAAATATTTTAATAAAAATAATATCTCTTCTCTATATTAATTATCTAAATTTAATTACTTTCTAATATATATGAATTAAACATTTATTGTATATATATGAACTAATTATTAAAATATTAAAACAATATTCTTATTTCATAAAAAATAATCATAAAATAAAAAGTATTATTACATTATAATATGAATAATTATTCTAATATATGAATTAACTAAATTTATTTATCAAAAAATAATCATAAAATAAAAAATATTGATTATATTATAATTTGAATTATCATTGCAGTTTTCAAAAGTTATTATAAAGTCAAATCAAATTATTGATTTGAATTTTAAATCAAATCATAATTAATCAGATCCCATCAGATCAGACTAGTTCAGATCAGATCAAATCAAATCATATCAGAACTACAAAAAATCAGATCAGATCAAAAAAAAGTTGAATGAAACGAAGCCTTAATCTAGAATTAGAAAATAAACATTACTCCCTCCGTCCCCTTTTTTATTACAATATTCTCTCATCTATTTGTCCCAAAATAGATTACAAAAATTAAATTTGGTAACATTTATGGGTAAATGTTACCAAAATACCCCCTCCCACATTATGTAAACAATGACTTTAGTATTCATGTTTGCTTTATTTAAATCCACTTTGAGCCTTTCCACGTGATGGAGCACAACATGAAATTAGAGGGTAGTTTGGGAAACTTTTGAGTGATTTGACTTATTATTAATATACACAAAAAGGGAATATTATAATAAAAAAAGAGACGGAGGGAGTATTATTTAAAAACAAATGTTGCTAAATGCACCTTCTTTTTGTTTAAAATTCATCCATTTATGAATCTTATTCAATTTTTTTAAACACTAATAAATTTATTACAAAGTAATACTCCCTCCGACCCCTATATTTGTCTACTTTCATTTTTGCACACCATCCAATGCACTTCTTTAATTCATTTTATTTTGTAATTTGTATATTAAAAAATTATATATTAATAATCTATATGTTAAGACAAATCAAACAAGATTACACATGATTATATTTAGGCTTATACATTGAGAGAATTTGATGAGTCAAAGTGCTTAGTTGAACAATTTCAAAAGTCAAATGTAGACAAATACAGGAGAACGAAGGGAGTATCTATCAATACATTTTGAATATAAATTCAATAAAGATTAGTGGAGAGCATATTTAATTTTGATGTTAATTGGAGGGACAGTTTAGTAATTTCAAGTAATTCTGCTCATGTGTTCTATTCCTGTATTCCCCCCTCCCTCCCGCAAATTCTCATCACATTCCTTCAACCATGGGTTTCGGAGCAATAAGATCCGTCGCCCGACCCGTTTCCAGAGCTCTCCTCTCTCACCGGAACGCCTGGGCTTTTTCATCCATAGCGTCGCCCGCCACCTTATCCTCTCTATCGCCTGAGCTCCGGTGGATTGCCGGCCCTAAGCTTCCGTGGATTCCGCCGTCCTCCGCCTTCCACAGCCTAACGGACACTCGGTATCCGAAGCGAAGGCCCGTCGACAAGCCTAAACGCAAACGACCAGTTCCGGAACCTCCTGGTATCTTCTCATTTCAGCCTTTCTTCCCTTTTCTGCCGCTGTAATTAGGGTTTTAGGGGTTTACTTTTACCTTTATTTCCGGGATTCTAGCTGTTGGAATTGGAAAATTCGCGTCTTTTAACCTATCATAAGCATAATTTAAGTGAATGTAAAGGGCTTACTGAAATTGCTGAGCCTTTAGTGATGGTGGGATTTTATTGCTCATAGCTAGAATTGTTTTCAATCATGACAATAGCTAATTTGGATAGTTCATAAGGAGATTACTTCTTTAAGGTTGAATTTGGTGATATTAAGACTTTTTTAGTACATGACATTTACTAGGATTTCTTGGAGGCATTTTATTATGGCTGTAGAGTATTTGAAGAGTTTGAAAGTGAGTTGAGGTAGGCAAGAACCACTAGCCTAGTAAAATCCCACAACAGTGGGGTCTGCAGCGGATATGTGTGTGCCGAAGTCCAAGGTTTTGAAAGGCAAAAACTAGCCTCGAGGCGGTGGAGCAAAATGCCTTGAGTGTAAGCCTCGAGGCGTAGGCCTCAGTTCAATATGAAAAAAATAATACTAGAATATGTACACCGAGGTAAAATGAAATGCATAATCCATTTTCATGTTAAATAAGCCTAAGATCTCATGCTTAATAGCCTTGCTTGAGTTGAATGGGAAATATTTGCTTTCTTTGGTTTAGTCTGTAACACTTCATGAGAAAATGAAGTTCCCCATAATTTCAGAGTTTAATCTTGTGATGTAGGCCCCTATTCTGGTGTTCCTAGGCGATTGCCTCATGATCCAAAACCCCAAAAGAACCCCAATGAAGGAAGTGTTAAGAGAAGGAACGAGAAGAAGAGAATCAAGCAACACAAGGCTTTTATTTTGGTATGTGCTTAAAAGTTTCCAAAAAAATTTCTACTTCCTCTCATGATCTTATTCTCCTGGTATGATGCAATATCTCGACTGCTTGCTTATTGCCTTATGTTTCGAACTATTTTCAGTTTTACCTTGGAAAATAGGAAAGAAAATCAAATTCGATTTAAACTCTTTAAAAACTGTTTCTTTAAAATTATAAATAAGGTGAGGTTGATTTTTTTTTACAAAATATCTAAAATTTATTAGATGAGTTTGAAGCAGTTTTGTATTTTCACTTACATTTTCTCTCCCTCCAAATTCCCCTTATATTTTCCTCTCTGATTGGTTTCCCTAGCATTTTTCATGTTCCAAACAGACCATTAGTAGTGGGCTAAAAGAATAACCCACAACATATTTATGGATCTAGGAATTATGGAGTATATGTATGGTTAATTCAGCTTTTGGGGATGGTGTTTGAACACTGTTTTTCAGCTTCTGCCTCGTCAAAGTGCAGTTTAGCTTGTTTGGTAATCTGCACCTCTTTATAGCTTATGGCTTCAGAGTTCAGAATGTAAAATGGGCTTCGAAATCGCTCTTCAGCAAAGCTACGACTTGTTGCATTCCGCTTTTGACATATAACTTTTGTTTTTTCAAGAATCTACTACAACTCCAAACATCCTCTTAGTATTGGTAGTGGAAGAACTCTTTTAAAGAAGTTCAAATGGTTTGAGCTTGATGACAGACACATCTATTTTATTGGGATTAATAGCTGGCTGGCTACATAAGATTTGGTGATCCTTATTGATTTCTTATTTAAATGCAAACTTGCAATGGAGAAAATGTGGTGCTCTCATTGAGTGACCTGCATCAATAAACAGATTTTAGCTGGTTTATTCTAAAGGAACTTAGTCTAATGAATATATTAGATCAGCTAGAAAAAATGTTTGAAAGTTTTAAGGATATAAAATTTGGGTAAAATAAAATTAAATGCTCCAAACTCAATATATCATACTGGGTTGTTGTTGCTCCAAACTCAATGTATCAGTTCTAGATCATTCTACAAGTTGGTCTGAGGGGTGGGTTAGTGGGGTTTTTTTGGGTTAGTGGGTATGCAGACTTCATTCCTATTTCTTAACTATAAAAGGGTGATTATGTTTCAAAAGACCCCCAACCCAAGAAACATTGGAAAAACTATATTTTTCCTTTCCTCGCCTTCTTCTGCAATCTTAATGTAGCCTAACTAAATCACTTTTGTTCCAAGAACATATCTTAAACATAAATCATTCTGCTGGAGAGGTTTTATATTTCCTCTGCATGAAGTTTGGTTCAAACCGTGTGCAGTCTGAAAAGAAGAAGCGCACGGCGTTAGTGCAAGAAGCAAAAAGGAAGAAACTGATGAAAAGAGTGGAGCGAAAGATGGCTGCAGTTGCAAGGGAAAGGGCGTGGGTTGAAAGACTAGCAGAATTGAAGAAGCTTGAGGAAGAGAAGAAGAAGAAGGAGGCTGCCATGGCTTAGCCTTCCTCTCTGCAAAATGCAAAAAGGTCTATAACAAGGTTGGTTGCTTTATGGAGATTGTTGCCCCTTTCCTCAATATTCGTTTTTTAATAGATTATTTTGTTCGAAATGGAAATTTCAAAGGAATTGAAGTTCTCTGTTCGAGTGATTTCAATTTCAATGCATCTCCCTTGGAACATCTTGGAAACAACCTATTTACTCTTCATAGTAGGGGTAAGGTTTTTGTAATTTTACCAGTTTTTTGTGTATTTTGGTTTTGTTGTGAGAAAGGGAATAAGGAAAATTTACTGTTTATCAATGTTATGCCTAGTTTGAGGTTCAATCGGTGTTATGCGAGATACAAGTAAAATTTAGGAGAAAAGCTGCATTAATACATACGTAGTACCATATTACGTAGTACAAAACATCAGAGAATGTTTATTGGGAGTATGATACACAAGCTAAGTAGAACAGAGAACTAGAGAATGTTACCAAACAAACGCCTTACCCCCCCATATAATGTTACCAAGCTAAGTGTCTGTGTTTGTCAGTTTCTTGTCTGGCGTACAAATGGGGTACTCCATTTTGGTGTGCCCCTAAGTCTATTCTTCTTTTTAATATACGAAGTATTATCCAGTGACAATAATTATTTCAGTTGTTATTTTTTGTTTATTTGTTTGTGTTTTTTAATAAAAAATACTTTTGTCAAATGTTTTATAATTATAAAATATGTCATTTGTATTTATATTTCTATGTAATTTGTAAATGAAATAACTCAAAAGAAATGAAATTTTACATTTCAACAATTAAAATGTACCTGAATATAATTTTTCTAAAGAATATTCTTAACATATCATAAATAAATGTGAGTAAAAGTGTACAAGGAAAACGAAAATTAGACATAGTGCTTCATAATATTAAGGTTAATTTTAATATGATATGGGCTCTTAGGTTAAGAACTTTTTGAAATTGATTTTCATACTTTTTTATAAAAATAATGAAAAAAAGTGGGAGTTAATTTTAAAACCGATGCACAAAAAAAATGAGGTGGGGAGGGCATCAACGAAAAATATATAGAATTAATATACATACAAATAACAAATGAATAAAGGCAAAAAGAATATTTGTTAGAAATATACTACCCCGTAATACTATTTATTTAGATTAAAAAAAAGAAATAAACCCTATTTTTTGTTTTTACAATCTTTATGAAACACGCATGGAGACATGGATGGGACACACCAATTGTACATTCTTCTTATGTGAGCCACACACAAGTGTATCACTAAACAAATACATATTACAGAATGAAAATATGTTTTTCTAATCCTACAAAAAAAAGAACCAAATTTCTTCAAAATCCCATCAGTCTGAATCTGAATCAGGATTCACAGATGACCTCACTGACCTGTGTTCTTGATCATAGTCTCTGTCATCGTCGTCTTGTTTGGTCTCCTTGATCATTCCTGCAAATGTGTGGTTTAGGCACAGCCAAAAAGTTGAGATTTTTTTTCTTCTCAAGAGAAAGAAGAAAACAAAAGAGACATCACCTTTCTTTAACAAAAAAGACTCCAGTGATTTTGTGGAGAAATCGTCCTTTCCTCCCAATTCCTGAAACCCGACAAGCCTATCTAGAGCAATTCCATTCCTGAAAAACAAAACAAAAAATTCCCAACTAAAGAACATTCTACAGGTGTGCATGCAAGGAAGACGAAGATCCAACAAAAGTAATATGCATCGGTTTTTGGGTCTTAAAAATTTAGTACTCAAAACTTTTTTTGGGTTCTAGAATAGGGATTGGGACGGGCCCGAAGCTGACCCATGCACTCCCCTACTCGGGGAGGGGCCTTTAAGCAACAAAAAAAGAAAAAAAAGAGAGATATAGCAGCACACACATATACAGGTGATATGGGATGGAAGTCAAGGAACTGACCTGAAAAGGATGACACACGGCAGAGTTTTGATTCCTAGCTTGGTGACAAAAAAGGGAGCATTCTGCAATCAATTAGGGCATATAAATGATAGTGAACCTAAGTCAGAACCCAAATAAACCAATTTAATTTACAAGAATGCTTCAATTGGGAACTAAATACGAGGGGTAAAATGAAATACTTCTGCTGTATGGATAGCTATAAAGTGAGGCTGACCTCTGCATCCAATTTAAGGAACTTAGTATCAAAATGCTTTGGTGCAAGCAACTTCAAATGCTTATCCATTATCCTGCAACGCTCAACAATCACGGTGATATAGTTTTTGCAAGAAAAGCAAAGACATTCATCAAAAGATGACCATGACCAACAAAGAACAAGCAAATTCAAGAACAATCATCAAAAGGCCACAAACAAAGAGATAACACAGTTTCCTTCTCTAAGACTAAGTGTATATTTGGCACATCATTTAATCGAGATTGTAAAAAAACATTTTTTTGATTATTTAAGAAAATACATAATTTGAATTTTTTGAGAGAAAAAAGCACTTTTAGTGCCTATAAGAGAAAAAAAGCACTTTAGAAAGCACTAATAGCATAAGTAATTGGTTCAATGTTCTTACTTGCAACGGTAAAACTCTCGATGGTAAAAGTGACAAATTGCTTTTTCACTATGCGTAACTTCACCCAAAAAATCTCCTTCCGTAATCTCTCTATACTCGCCATGTCCGTGTTTTTTAAGTTCTTGTCGCTTCTCAGCTTCTTTCTGTATGGAACAAGACAAAATAATCCCCTCAATTATAAGGAAGAGACATTGTCCTTAAATTAAGTAGGTCAAAGATTTGGCGTGTGGAGAAGCCAAATACTAACCCGGAGAGAAGCAATCCTATCAGCATGCAACTTTTCCAACTCAGGATCCTGTTGTTAGATATACAAACAGAAAGATCAGCAACCTCTTCATTAAGAGAATATACAGAATTACAAATCCTTATTACTATGTGTTAATAACGGACATTAAGATAATAGGCCAACATACATCCATGAGCTCATCAAGATCAACCTCTTCGTTAACAGAATTTGAAGTTTGTGCCTTGTCCTTGGCAAGCAATTCCTGCAGAAATGGAGATGCTCACAGCACGGAAAAAGACAGGGAAAGAAAATGAGGAAGAAGCTATCGACGAAACTTGGAAGGAAAGAAAACGTAGAGAAAATAAAATATTTGTTCAAACTTAATAATTTAGTTTTGATGCCGAGCATTTGTTCAAAACTGCCTAATTTATTTCCACCATACACAGACTAAAAATTAATCTTTTCTTTAAATAGCGAGCATCAATCATATTTCATTTTCATTTGCATTTTTTGAGATAAAACCAAAATATCCTAGTACTTTCCGTGTTTCCAAGATCTAAACACACCCTAAAGAGAGGTTTCAAGACAGAGCCACGACATTCAATGAACATATTCTGGATTAAATTGAATCAATATACAAGTAAAGCCCTAACATCGAGCAAAACTTAACTGAAATTAACACCTGAAAATCACAGCAGTTGCATCCTACCATACACATTACTGAATTGGTGCATTTTTCAGTCAAATCTGATTTGAAAGAAAATCATTCATCTGTGGGCACCATATTAGATTCAAGTTTAGGTAGCTTTGAACTAGACTGGCCAGTGATCATTCCTTGCTGGTAAAACCAGAGAATTAAAATCAAATGCCCAATCCGGAAACAGAACAACTAATGTCTATGTATCGTGTTGCGCTATTCTCCAGATTCTATAAGTACATTATGCAAAACCTAAACTATGTTTCCGAACTTAAATCCCACAGAATGAGGAAAAAAAAGCAATAAATTAGACAAAAAAAGGAAATTAGAAACAGGCGAAATTAGGAAAGTTAGAAGAAGGAAAAACATAAATTAACAGAGACCTTCTGATAATCGCGAGCTGCAGCGGCTATGACATTTCCAAATGCCAACGTAGAAAGAGTTGATTTCACCGAGTCTGGATCCATCTCTCTCTCTCTCTCTCTCAGAATTACTGTATAAAATCCGTCTAAGAATCTCCGAGAACGAAGATCTGTAATTTCAGGAACGAAGCCCCAAATCTCTCAAATGAATGAAGCTCCTCCGCAGTTAGCAGCTGTTCTTTCTTTCTTTCTTCTTCTTCTCCTTCTGATTGCTTTTTTTATATTTGGGCTTTAGAGTGATTTTCTCGGCCCAATAGTGTTTATGACGAATATGGACCCATTCCCCATTTTATTTATCACTGTCCTTACATTGCTTTTTCAAGACCATTAAGAGAGAATGGTCCATATAGACAGCAAAAACTACTCCGTATGTGAAATTTGACAAAAACAAATATTCTCTCAATCTAAAAATAAACCTTTTATTTTTATGTCATTTTTCCTAAATTAAATTTTCCATTCTTTTCAAAGTAAGTATTGAATGCTTCATATTATTTTTTCTTTTGCATAAAGTACAAATTCTAAGATTATAAATTTTGACGCATACCATGTGACACGTGTACTACCTTTGTCATAATGTATTCGTCCAATTTCATATTTTTCAGTCAAACTAAACGAACTTTAGACCTTAATTAAATAAAAACGATAATGTATTTAGTATAAAAATTAATTCAAAAAGTTTATCATATTAAGAACTATTAAAATTTTAATTTATTGTATTGATATGTAATGCAAATTAAGAACAATTGATTACTAAACTCCGTTCAAATTGAATGAATACACTGGAACAGAAGAGTTCCAACTTTCAATCATACAATAATTTCGAGCGAAAATAATCCAAGCAAGCAATATGACCTCTGCAAGTAATGATGTAAGAAAACATTGGTCATAGATTTCGACAAAAATAAAAGAAAATATTGGTCTAAGATTTCCACAAACAAAATAAGCATTGTGGACAAAGTCACAAAAGGGTACAACATAGGCAACCTAGAAGAAATGGTGATTGATCAACCCAAAACATTCCATAGTCTATTGCTGTTGTTTTAAAGGTTGTAAAACAAATGCAGTTCAAATATATATTAAAACGGAAAATACATAATCCGCCATTGCAGGATTCTGTGAGAATCTAGGCATGCGAAACACAACACAAAAGAACTAGTAAAACAGCGGGCGCAAGCCAATGGATGAGATCATAGATCGAATCTCAATCCTTCCTAAGCTCCATTTCCTCACGGCGAATCCCTTGGGAGTTCAATATGACTATCTCCAACCGGTCACCCTGCGCGCACAAAAAAAAATCAAATAAAATGATCAATAAATTCATGACCATTTTAAGGAACTCAAATTGTAGTTGTGAAACTAACGGGGATTCTCAGGGAATTCACAGAACAACGGAATAAATCATTGTAAAGTGTAAACTCTTCAAATTAACGTTCATTTACAGAGTCTCTGTAGATTAGTACTATTCTTTCAAAGTGAACAGCCATATAAATCAAAACATGGAAAATACTAATGCTCCATAATAGATAAATAAATGCAGAGTAAATAAATAAAAGAAACAATAGAAAGAAGAAACAAGAAAGAGGCTTACAGTGTATATATCCCTCTCAGTTGCTGATGCAAAACATGTCTTCACTAAATGAATTGCTTCGTTCTCAGAAAGAGGAGTAACAGCATCCTGAGCAGGTAATGCAACCCATTTTAGACATCAAATAAATCTTGACATACTGTTTCTGAAAACGGGTTTGTATAGAAAAAATCCAGACCTGGGCAGGCAATAACAGTGGACTAGGGGACTTCAGCTGGTTATCCAAGAAAGGTGTGATCAACGTAGAGCCAGATCCTTGAGAGCTGTAACCAACCCTCTCATACGATCCAACAGCATCATATGTGAAAACACATCCTTTGCCTGGAAGATTTTAAGAAAAGACGAGAGGCAAACAGAAATAAATGTCCATTATTGATACTCCCACATTCCTGAAAAAAAGACTATTGTTTCAAAAACTTTTTTTGTACAAAAAAAAGTTCTCTTTGATTTAAAAAAAAATTGTAGTTTGCCAAAAAAAATGCTACAAACAAAAAGAATTTAATAAGTTTAGTTAAATCCCCCAAAAAAAACAAAATAACATTAGATTTTAAGATTTGTCCCTTGACAAAATTTAAAAGTTGTACCTTGAGCAAACATAAGTCTTTCAATAAGACAGAGGGAGTATATATACTCCCCACCACTTCAATTTAAAAAATATTTTGACATGTATCACACATTTTAACTTTTACGAGATGTTCCAAAGTAAAGGAAAATACCACCCATAGTAACCAGCACTTGCCCAGTTGTCCACCAATATTCCCATTAACTAAGATCCCCTTATCATCTAACAGTGTTGTTTTAATGATGTGCATTTAGCTTAATCAGTATGTGTTTTAAAAAGATGTGTGCTGGCTTCCAGAAAAATGGTAAATCAATTTTGTTCTTTAGAATTCATTAGGTAAGCTAAGCTGCTAGCATAGTCCAGCTATATTAAAATGAAAGAAAATAGACACTTCGCCTCCATATGAAAACAAAGGTAGGTGTCATTACCATTAAACTATAAAAAGATGGGGTGGGGTTGAAACAAAAAAAAAGGAAAAGGGGAGAAAAAGAAGAATAAAAGTGTGGGGTTGGGTGGGGGTTGGAACCAAAAAAAAAGAAGGAAATAAAAAATTAAATATCAAATGTGGGGTAGGGGGGGTTAAACAAAAAAAATAAAAAATGAAAGAAAAAGAAGAAGAAGAAGAAGAACATGGT